AAGATTATTATGTCGATCTTTAATACTTCTAAATAGAATAAAATATTTAAAGTATCTATTAATAAATTATCATTCCATTAACAGTATACCTTACAATCGATTTGATATTATTTATTTATAGATATCTTCATTTCTACTAATACTTTATTTTGTTAACCTATAAGACTAAATCTTTTATACAAACGATTTAGGCTGGTAAAAAGAATATAAAGAAGAAAAAAAAAAAATATATATATATATATAAATGAATGAAGTAATAGTCTATTCATGGAAACATCCAATGCAATTCTATAAATAAAGGTAAATTGAAGAAATAATAATGTCGACTAAAAGTCTAAATAAAAAGGTAGATTACACGGTAGGAAAGATGTTTCTTGCTTATAAGTCGAATCCCGGCTAAAAGTGACTAACGTCCTGGCGTTCGTAGCGTAGATATGTTGTACGTACACACAGGTGGAACGGAGAAAAGTCATTACGTAGAGGATATCCGAGAGAACAGGAGAGAATACGTATGCGTCATCTGGGAGAAACGAGCATAGTACCAAGAGCAAGAAGCATCTTCCGTCCCGCGTGAAATCTCGTTTCGCGGTCCGCTTCGCGTACACGAATAATGCGTGTAACGTAAGGATGCTGTGCCACGTGCGTTGACGTTCTCAAAAAACAACAAAAAAGAAAGGTAAAAAAAACGAACAACAAAATGAAACTACATAAAAGAAGAATAAGAAGAGAGAAAGACGGAAAAAAAATGATGAAATAAAGAGAGAGAGAGAGAGAGAGAGAAGGAAAAAGAATAGAAAGGATTTTTCCTATGAAACATAAAAGTCGAAAAGATGACTAAAAAAGGAAAAAAAAAGTGCATGTTCGTAATAAGTAAAAAAAAATAAAGTAAAAGAAAAATAAGTAGAAAGAAGATAAAGGGTGAACCCTATACAGAACGTAATAGTACCATCCCCTGTCGTTGGAAGTACAGTGAGTTAGGGGGTGTCGTCGTTCCTACGCTATACTATCGAGCCAACCCCGTAATTATGTGAAACGAAGCGTGGAGCTGTGGTACGCGTTAACGTTCCGCGGTAATAGGAAGTGATAATTTGTGGATAAACGTGATATATTTTCTTGTTTTCTCTCCTACATCCATACAACATTACAACTGGCTTTCGTCTCTCTATTCTTCGATGTCGTACGAAAAAGGGATGTTTCTATCCTTTGATGCGTGTATCTCCTCTTTCCTTATCCCTTTACAAGATTAATGTAGATCTATTTTATTACCATTTGCGGGAATAATATAATTGAAATAATAAAAAGATCATATGAGAAAATTTCACTCGTTCATTTCTATCTTCCTTTTTACACTTTAAACATCATTTTAGATTTTGAGGAAAATGTTGACCCGCTTTTCGAAGGCTCGCTGCTACTTAACTTTAAAGCGGGGTCAAACCCATCGAAAGAAAGTTCCTTACTAATTTAACGGAATTCCACTTTGGAAGGAAGTTTCATCAAGTTCCATCCTCGCATCTTTGCGAAAAGATAGGGACGCGTTATCGTTTTCTTCTACCTTCGGATCTTTTAAAGCTCGATGCTCGAAGAAACAAAGTACAGAGTTCGGTGAAAGAAAAAGTTATGTGGTTTGAAGAAAACGACGTATAGAAAAAGGCAATACAAAGTGAAACATCGTTTCGCTTTCTTCCAAGAGTTTCTTTCGTTCGAAAGGGAATTCGAAGGTCCATCGGACAAGCCCTTTTCGTTCTCAACCCTCCTCGATCTCTACCCTTTACTCGAGGGCTTAACGGATATCGGATATCCAACGAGCGACCTAAAAGCCCGTTCGTGTGTCGCTCAGACTCAATTAATAAAGCAATTCGATCATGGCAATTAGGCTCGTTAGCAAGCGTGGATATCGGGCCGAACCAAATATGCCAGTGCACCGCAGGAATACGTCTAGTCGGTAATATCTAAACTACTAATCCTCTTCGTTTTTGCAATCTTTTTTATCGTTACACGTCGAGTACAAATATCAAGAACTCTGTTCTATTACATAAATTCGTAAAATTAACTATGTCCCTATAATATGTTTTACTAACATTTTTTTTTTATTTATTTATTTTTTTAACTAGCAAATAATTAAATAAAAAAGGCATAATAATAATCTAGATCCTTTCAAATTGTAGACGAAATTAAAGTATCGATCGTGAAAGAGCTTTCGAATATTACGCTGAATAAAATGTTGCAGAACGAAATTCTTAGGATTTCTCGTCGTACCTTTTACAAGCTTGATATTTCCTCGACGTAGATACAATAGTGTACCAAGCTACGAAGAAAATCCCAAAAGACTTTGTACGCTTTTTACGTGCGATGATTACGGCGAGCAGGTATGCGAAAGCAAGACATCGTCTACGTTGATAATCGCGATTCGTTTTCGAGAGTTCCTTTGACGGATTTAGCGAATAATCAAATACGATAATCGGATGTCTAGCACAGTTAGGTACATCAAAGAGCATCTTATTCACGTGAATTTCATTTTTATCCATGAAAAAGACCAAAGATCATATCAATATCATCGAGCACTATAATTTATGGAATTTATAATAAAGATATTATTTATTGGAATCGAGACGAACGATCTTAAAATATTTTACATGTATTCATAATATAGATCAAAAGAGAAAATTAACATACGACCGATATATCAACTATATCCCAATATTTTAAACTGCTGTAACATTCGAATATCTAATTGTAAGTTAAATTATTAATGCAATCGCTAAAGGGACAGAAAAGAAGAGAAAGAGAGAGAGAGAGAGAGAGAAAGGGGCTAGCCTTAGAATCAAAGGAAGGAAGAAACGAACGGATATCGACGAACGAAGTCGATTTATTTTCGATGACAGCATTGGGTCACCGGATCATCGTTATGCTAGAAGTTGCCCGTAAAATCCATTATACGGACAAAGTTACAGATATCGATGTCCTCTATTGTGCTTCCTTGTGGATTCGTTTCCACATATCGATGAATCTACGAAACAAATACAATGGTATCCTATTTCTCTCGACGTGCAGGAAATCGTTAAGTGTTCTAAACTCTCGTCGTTAAAATTAAAATACATGCTAGATCAATTGACAAAGGGATTTTTTAATTAGACAGACTATTACACAATTAGTATGAAATTATTATTATCAAACATACACACACACACACACACACACACACACATATATATATATATATAATATAAAAAGGATCTTATGAAATTCTTAATCAATCGACATGATTAAAAACATTCCTATAGGACTGTAATGAATTCGCATAAAATCTCAATCTAAATATACTCTATTCAGGATAATTAAAATCCGTCGGCTTATCAAAAAAGCAACGTACTCTCAGATGATGTGGTCATTTTCGCGTAAAATTTTAGCCGAGGTCCAAATACCAATGTACCACCTATGACTAAGTACATATGTATTTCATGTAAAAGAACCCTTCGTGGTTGCGTCGCTCGCTCTTCAAAGCGATTTAACAGGGGGGGCTTTTCCAGCTTCACTAACAGCACACCGGGAAGAGCTATATTTTACGAGGGATAGATAAATTATTACAGCAGCATCGGCCTAACGCTGAATTTCGGCCAAACTGACGGCCTCGGATAGCCACGGATATACGCTTTAAATTCGGCTTATGTGTGATTCCGTAATAACTTGAACTAATTTGTTCTAGGTAATTATCGAAATATATATATATATATATACATACGTACATATATAAGTACATATTTATTACATTTGAATAAGTATGTATAAATCGTGACGTTGGTTTCTCGATAAGATAAAAATTCTGCTTACCGTTCTAACTTATGTGAATTTCGAAAAATGTTCGTAACATTATCGATAAGAGTACCCCAAGGAGAAAATATAAATCCAAAGATCACGCCTTTAGAGACGGCAAAGTCCAGACTTTAGTGGCAATTTTCTTCTCAGGTGATTCTTTTCAAAGGGTTACACCCACTGATCGATCTTATAAATCTTACGAGATTATTTGTCCTTTCTTGGATTAATATTACACCTAAGTTCTTTTTTCTCGATTCGTCGACGATGACTTTTCAAAAAGTAATTCAATCTGATTAGTTATAAGTATATAAGGTATAGATTTCTCTTGATAAAAATGATAGATTGATTAACCTGTTTTTTATTGCAATAAATAAATTCAATCTAAGAAACATATACATAAACCTAATGAACTCAAAGGTTTAGACTAGTTTTAGTGGTCGTTAAGAGATAACAATTCGATGAAGTATAAAATGAAAGGAAAGTTCGATGTGTCGTCTAAGAGAACGTAACGAAGGACGTCGTTGACGTGAAACTCCCTAGACATCGACGGCGTAACAACAATCTAATTTCCATCGAGACTCACTACCGGTTTATGTTTACAAGAGTCGTGAGCGAGAGGGGTTGGGTCGTTAAAGCGCCAAGTAGATTGTTCCGTCGGCTCGGCTCGTTTCTCCAACGTAGATAGGTACATTCGTGCGATGTTTCGTTACTATCCAGTATCTTGCTTCGACGCCCCTACTAAACGAAGCGAACTATTCTACGATTTTACTCCCTACAACTTTTGCTTTCGCCTTTGTATTTCGCACTATTTATTCTTATAGAATCTAATTATTACTAATTTCGCTCAATTAAGGCCGAATCTCTCGAACTGCTTTACATGCTTCCCGTCGAACAGGAACGAATAAAGACATTCTATAAATATCAACTGGATTTTCTATTCCAAACAAAAAGTTTCGCCATCTATTTTCTGAAATAACTTATAAAAAATAATATATATATATATATACATGTGTGTGTAAAAAAAATGCGCAATAGGATCGAAGTACCCCTCTCAAGGGTATACAGTTTTTCTATTTAATTACGTAAATAATTCTCTTATTTAAGTGTTCAAATTCTATATAATTAAATCGAAGAAACTAAAGTATTTCTAACATGCAGATAAACGATTTAAGTAAGTAAGAGAATACCTTGTACTTTGTAACATAAGCGGAGGTCTTTTCGACGACAGGCAACAGTTTTCAGTGAAGAGTAGCGGAATTTCTCCTTGGCATTTGGTAACGTTGAGGTATTCGTCCGATAAGCGGTTTAGTTTACTACTAGAGTACTTCGTTGCTGCCCTCGGTGCAACTATGCGTTCACCCTCGACCGATCTCACCACCACCCCAACGGCTTGGTGTCCGCGACAAACGTGCATCGAGATGTAAAGACCCTCAGAGATAGAGAGTGAGAAAGATGGAGAGAGAGAGAGAGAGCTACGTTCGATATTGAGTTGGTAGACGAACCGATAACGAGAGTTATCTTCGGTCATTGAACTTGGAAAAAGAACGTTGGATCTCGTCTGATTGCGATTTGCTGACTCATTCGCTTCGATCGTCCTCTATATCTAGTCATTATTTTCTCTCTTTCTCTCTCTCTCTCTCTCTCTCTCTCTTCATTTCTTTTTCTTTATGCATCTCCGTCTCTTTTACGCCAGATTAATACATTTTTATAATAACAAGCATCGATCATAGAAAGAAGATATTATTAATTATATGTTTTAAAACGTAAAACGATGGAATTTAAATTATGAATAAAAACGATAAGATGAATCTGTCGATGAAGATTCACTGGAACAATTTTCAATTCACCCTTATGAATATAATTAAGCATAAATTATAATCTAAAACGTGACAAATAATTATTGCATTAATATACTAAACATGAACGTGATTTTTAACTATCTTAAAAGCTAAGATATTCTGAAACGTCAGCCATTAACTCGGTATTGACTACGTTGTACTATGTAAAATGAATAAATACCATAGGGAATATCAATCACCTGGATCTAACCATACGAAGGTTGCAGCGTATAGAAATCCTTGTTAAAAAATGTATAAATAATATAGAAAAATTCCGCGGAAAGAAGAGAGCTAGAGAGCACGTTCTGAAAAGAGCTGTTTACAATATCGAAATAGAACGCTTATAGGACGCTTAAATGAAACAATAACAGATATCTTCCTAAGCTCAAGGTTAAACACCGCTGCCTTTTGTTATATTTACATGTCCTTTTGCCTGTTCTAAGCTTCCCTTCTCTCTCTCTCTCTCTCTCTCTCTCTCTCTCTCTCTCTCTCTCTCTGTTTCTCTCTCTATCGCTCTCTCTCTTTCTCTCTCTCTCTCTCTCTCTCTCTCTCTCTGTCTCTCTCTCTCTCTCCTTCTCGCTAGATAAAATACAGCATATAAAATATAAAATGTATATATGACGCATATATAATACGATCGATTACAATAAATAAATTATTAATTATATAGCCGAAAGTTATTAAAAATATATTAACCAAACGATAAATTAAAGTACCTATAATTATTGTAGAAAATTCGGATGAAAAGAAAGAAATTCCTACACGTTCGAGAGAGCTGTTCACACCACAAAGGACAACGCTCGACTGTGAGACAAGCGCGAGTGCCTTGCTTGGCTCAAGGACAAGCATGCGACCATTTCTTATTTTGTTTATATAGACATACATACATACTCTGCGTATAAGACTTTCATCATAACACATACATATATAAACGTACAGTAAACTATATATTTGATAAGTCGAATAATAACAATAATAAAATAATAATAATAATAATAATAATAATAATATATAATATATTGAAACTATTTATGATAGTTATAATGTTAACTCGGTTATGCTAATATTAATACATAATACATGCAGTACACAGATGTGTTTTGCATAATTCCTAATCCAATTTATTTCTAAAATTTCATTAATATTATATTACATGAAATATGAATTTTCTAATAACAATGAATCTGCATCTGAATCTAATTAGACGATCTATCCTTGATAATAGAAAAATAATCGAATATAGATGACGATGATGATTCATGTATTTCGTTGGATCCGCAAAGATGTCGATATAATCGATGCAACAATCTTCTAATTACGCGTCACAGTAATGGACAATGGCTGACAAAGAGATCGACGGGAAATGGAAGATAGAGGAGTCGCTCAACCAAAACGCTAGCCAATCAGCATAGAGATGTAATCGAGTACCTCGTATAATACCAACCAATAGGTGTATACTGAAATTCTGTTAGATATGAAAGCATGTGGTCTATGCTATTGCAGTAATGCAAATAGATAAATTTATATAGAGATAGAAAGAGAGAGAGAGAGAGAGAGAGAGAGAGAGAGAAAGAGAAAGAAACGACAGAAAATGAGCAGGTGTGGAATATACAATTCGAAGTTGATTAATCTTATCGTTAATTAATTTCGTGCCACAAAAGCGAGGCGTGGTGTTTCGATAAGAATCGTACGAGTTGTGATATCGTTCTCTTTGTCCCACGATCTTTATCTCAAAAGGACTGTTTCTGTTGATGCAAAGCTATTTCATATCTCTATACCAATCACATAATATATCTGTCGAATGAAGACTTTCTGTGTGTCATTTCGTTGTATCTTTGATAAAAAGTGAAAATGAAAGAAGTAAAGAAAAGAGAAAGAGAGAAAAAAAAAAGAAAAAGAACGAGAAAGAAATGAAAAGAACATAAGTAAATTTGTCGATTTATGAATCGTTCAACTGGATAATATACGCTATGGCATTAGTATCCCATTCTTGGAACAATAATTCCCATTTAATAATTAGCGATCGCATGTCAATGTGTTGTAACGCACGCGTACGGCGCCGCCGGCTTCGCGAGTTCGTAATTGCAACGGCACCGACTAGTATGTCCGCCGCCAATAATGGCTGCGAGACCGCTACCATGGGGATTGCTTAAATACGGCCACGGATAATATTTTCATTATCCTCGCCCATTATCGAATTAATTAGCGAAAGAGAGGGAGAAAGAGAGAGAAAGAGAGAGAGAGAGAGAGAGAGAGAGAGAGAGAGAGATCAAACGCATATACGATATGTTTCGATGCTTTCCTATCTTGCTTTTCCTTGTTATTTTAAATTTCTAACGACAGTATCCCTCTCTTCTTACAAAAAAAAATTCTACGATAGTTCAATTATATCTAACATATCAAAGAAACTCATACTTATAAAATAATTTATCGTCAATGCACACTCTACAATATCTACGTTGTGTCACGTTCGCTATGAACGAATTTATTTCATCTTAAAAAAAAAAGAAAAACAAAAAAGAAAAAAAGAAGAAAAGGAAGAAGAAGACAAAAAAATTATATCATTTTAATTATATTCTATTTATCTTTGATGAATATGCATATATACGATCATTCATCGTGTACACGTACGTTATTGTATCTCTAACAATGAATAGTATGAATCGTATGAATGAAATCGACGATCGAAGAATAATATAATAAAGAATGAAATTGTTAAAAATCAGTTGATATAAAAGAGAAGAAAGCAAAAAGAGCTCAGTTTGGAATTAACGTTCCCCTAAAGCAGATCGAGGAGATAAAAATAACGAGGTGTGTATACCTTAATTTTCCAATATGTCGCCCTCGCATAATTCCTATCTGAGAAGGAAGTAAGAGGCAATGAGTAGGTTGAACTTGAAACAGAGCTCTTCTCTCGCACGTAAACGAATCTAGTTGAATCAGGTAGGTAGGTACGCGTTCGTAATCCCGGACAGTGTGCATTCTCGGTCATCCTCTTGATTCATACGTATTGCTCGAGGGTACCATGCACACCGTAATCCGTTCTGATATACAACATTGGCCTAACATACGCTGGCTCCCAGGACATCAACGTAATGATGGGAGTGCACGTGACCTGCCAAACCGATACGCTACGAAAACTTTGAAAAAAATCGTTATTTCGATCTTCATTGTTTAGCGGGATCATCAATTTTCTTCCTACGTTTTAATTTTATCTCGTTTTTCTTCCTTTACATTTTTTATCAATCGATCGATCGATCGAAAAAATTAACTTTATAATAAAACATGTTTGATGAGAAGTTAATTATGCTTTTTAAATAATTTCAATTATTGATGAAATAAATTTGAAATTGATCTGAGCGAATTAACTTTGAAATAAAACATGTTATTAATGATGGGAACTAATTTGATATATTTTATCTTAAATGACTGAATATTTTTATATGGGTTAGAGTGTAATAAAGGGAACGAGAACATCCGTCCACTTTCTTTCGTCAATAATTACGATCAGCTGATATTAATAAAAGCTTTCCCGAATATAAAATTATTTACAACAAGAAGAGTGGATTAACAGGTACATGTCAAACAGATTTTACTATCACCGACATACCGATAAATTTCGTAAAAACCAGACGGGTGGACGAACCTTTTCGAGAGTGTAAAGGCCAAACACGCGACTGGTCTACAGAGGAAGGGAAAAGGAGAGAGAAAGAGAGGACAATCGATCGATTTCGAGATGAACCATGAAAATCCACAGGTCCATCAAGCACCTTTCTGTCACCATATAAATAGCTTTCCGAAGGATTGTCTATTAAAATTCAAGTCGATGTACGTCCAAAGGGATAATTTTGCATAACTAAAAGAATTTTATATTAAATGATGCAAATATAAATAATAATGTTTTGATTTAAAATATAATATCTAAAATTCATTCTTATGAGCAAGTTATTCGATTATGCTCGTTTAGAACGCACCACGTACATAGCACGTGTGACCTCACTGTGAGTTGCTCGATGAAGAAATATATAGATCTCGAAGGAATAGGAGAGAAGGATAGCAAATAGGGTTAAATTTTGTAAGAACAGACGAACAGCTTTTTGTTAGTAAGGACCTCGCGTTCGTTGTAAAGTACTCGACAATGGAGACAACCGATACTAATCTAATGCAACGTAATGGCATAAGTACCGGCAGTGAGGCCATATGGACTTTAGATTATACGCTACGGTCCATTTACCGAGGGTATGTCTGCCGAATGGGAGAACACTATGAGACCACGAGGGATCTCCAGACGAACTTTCGAAATGTATACTAATTGACTTTGCCTAGAGCTTCTTCTCCATTACGCACTTGGGTTACGATCGAACGACACGTGAAGAATATTTAGTGGCCCATTTATGAAATTTAATCGAATCCCGAAAGTTTATATATATATATATGTATATGTATATATATTTAATTAAAGAAAAAAGAATTTAACCCGCTAGAATATATGCCTACAAATCGGAGATGTACGTAGAAAAAAATTTTGTTTAAATGTTGAACGAGTCCTTTTAACAATTTAAATTTATACACCATAGGAAATTCCTTTCTATTGTTCTCGCATGAAATTGTTAAGGATGGATCGAAGGGTGGTTCCATGTTTCGTCTCTATCCCCGAAGTAGTCGGAACGCACTTGCGAGCACTTTCAGGTTCCTCAGGCGAAATACGTGCTTGGTCCCTGCGTATGTTCGTAGCAGTAGCACTCACGTAGCGAGTCGAGATTGCACGGCAAGGCGAAAGCCATGGATAAGAAGGGAAACGTGAGACGGGAGAGTGAGACAGTACTAGTCCTCCTCCGCGGTGCCATTAGCTCGCTAATCTTAATGCAAAGGGGTCGGTGCAACAACCACCACCATCACCAACACCACTACCAATGCTATCGTCTGCTAAAAGGAGGTTGGTACAGACGCCTACGTTGAGAGATCGTTGCTTTCCTGACAAGGACCCTCTCTTTCTCTTCGGTCTGGCTTTTCTCTTCTCCCTTGAAAGCATTTTGCAAGGCCTAAGCTTTCCATCAGAAATATTCGAGAAACTCGATTTAGGTGAATTCTTTATCGGCGAACGTTTTGAAATGAAAAGGATCCTGCTCTTTCTCTTTCTCTCTTTCACTTTTATTTATCACCCATA